CCTGGGGCAGTGAGACCTCATCTCTACAATAAATCAAAAATCAGCTGGGCGTGGTAGCGCGCACCTGTAATTCCAGCTACTCGGAAGGCTGAGGCAGAAGGATCGCCAGAGCCCAGCAGGTCGAGGCTGCGGTGGCCGGGAGCGGCCACTGCACTCCAGTCTGGGCAACAGAGTGAGACTCCAACACCAAAAAAAAAAAAAAAAAGGATAACAATAGTATCCTTTGTAAACAACAACTTCTAGCAAGGTTGTTATTTCTGATGAATGTAAGCACTGACCTGGTAGTCTCTAAGCCTCTATAAGGATTGAATGATACAATGCATGGAGAACATTTAGGACTGTGCTGGGACTCTGATAAATGGTCACTGAGATGATTATTAAAGCAATGAGCCAGCCGTGAGAATCAGATACCACATTATCTTCCTACCTTCTGGAACGGTTCATTCTAGACTCTTAAAATATGAGCTGGAGTAACAACATGGAAAAGAAATAAAAGATGCTCTACTATCTACCATACCGCTGGGCCTAGATTTGAAAGCTGCTCTAAATATCAATGCCCCACATCAGAATCTAACTTCTATTCCTAGCCCTGGCCTTGGCCTACACTTTTTCAAATAACTTTGTTGTATCCATTTTTGCACACCATTCATTATGCCTAGGTACTTAGAACAAAAGTGGGGTATTTTCCTGGTAGGAACTAAGTAGGTAGCAATTTCAGTATTCTACTAAAAAAATTTAAGACATACAAAAAAGAGAAAGAGCCGATCAAACAAGTTCCTAATAATGTTCCTGTTTTTGACTTGTCTTTCTAACCATGGAAGTTTGTTCTGGTCTCAAAATTAACAGACCAACTTGTGATTGATGCCATGGTTTCCACTATCATCCTACCCATACCCCTATCTATTGTGTCAATTCAGTGAACTATTAAGGTGATCCCATAGTCTAAGGTCAGATAAAAAGAAAAAGACTTGAACTAAATCAACTCTACCACCAATTGCTTAGGAATACTGAAAGGTCCTGTAGGTTTTTTTGTTGACGTAAGATTGCTCTGCAATCTTTTGCAATCAGACTTCTGCAGACACCGGTGGGCTAACCAACCTGGACAGCTAAATAAGGGTTTCGTTTGCCACCCTAAAAATCCACTAAGTATAAATCTCCAGTTAAAATATTCCTTTTTGCTACTTTGTGACTAGCCATGTATTCAAGCCCTTGTTTTGTTATAAATATATAATTATGTTTGGTTATAACTGTACAACATAATAATTATCATAATTCATTTCACCTAAACAGAGGCTTCCAACTTCAGGTATGAAAAACAAAGCAGCTCCATTCAAAGTTAAGACGGATCTTTTTTACTGAGAGATCTTATGTTAGTAAGCAGCTGGATGCTTGTTTGTTGGTGCTTAAAAGAATCATCCTGACCACTTCTCCTAGTGACAGATGGGTAAACAACACTGCAATAACTACCTTGGGAACAATTCCAGATGGGGAATGAAAAGAAAAACAGAACTATAGCTTACTGCTCATTCCTCAAACACTTTGCAAAATGACAGGCTGGATCCTACTTCTAGGCCTTTGGATCCTAGACCTTTGGATCCTACTTCTAGGATAAGTAGTCCAAAATGCAGACTTTTTGCTAGAGCACTTTCCACACTGTACTGTTTTCCTGTCTTCCCCAACCAGCTCCTGATCCGGGGCTGTTTTATCTCCTTGTACTTCCAGCGTTAATACCCTGTCCGACACACTGATGGTGCTCAAATGACTGAACGACCGCCAAAGTGCCCACCCACGAGGCAGGCCCCACACGTGGCACTGCAGATCAGACATCAGACTGTGAAACGGCATGACCGCGGTCTGGCCCTTCTGTCTCCTCCTTGTCCTGAAACTGAGAGCAGGTCGGGGCAGCGCGCTCGCCATCCCTTAACCTCCCGAGGTCCCCGCGGGATGGAGGGGGTTCTCTGATCCGCCGGGGCTGCCTCTGACTCCCAGGCAGCGAACACGATCCCCCCCCCGGAAGGTGGAGGGGACAAGGGGGCTGTCCGCTTCTCCAAGCCCAACACTGAAACGACCCCTCCCCAACCTGACCCCGCAAACGCTCCACTCGGAAGCCCAAGCCTGGGCGCCCGGAGCTTCCCAGCGGGAAGGCGCCGCCCTGCACTGTGGGAGTTGTAGTTCCCCGGAGAGTTCCGCGCCCCGGCGGCCCGGGGAACGGGACTCCCGCTCCCAGAAGCCCCCGCGCGGGCGCCTCGCCCAGTCCGGCCACCTCACCTGTTCTATGGACGTGACGGTTTCCACCGAGTCGTCCTGCAACCGCTCCCGCGCGTGCTCGGGCCTCAGACTGTACAGCGGCTCTGACCACACAGGGGAGGACGATGGAGGGCAATAGTAGGTGAAGGAACTCGGAGAAGCCATGATCGGGAGAGCCGCAGGCGGTGTGCAGGACTCAGCTTCGTTAAGCAACAACGCGCATTGAAACTCGAGCGGGCTAAGGCGCTACGGAGAGCGGGTGGCGGCAAAAAGGTTGTAAACGCGAATCTCTCCTCCCACCTACACATCTCAGGGCGCGAGTTAGCAAGATGCTGCCGCCTCCCGTTGGGCAGAGGCGCAGCTGCAAGAGCTCAGCTTCCTAGAGCGTAAGGGTTTCTACAGCTGAAATTTCATTTCAGAGGCGTGGGATGCCTTGGTTTGTTATGCAAATTAAAAACACCGTTAACATTCGACTAATTCTCACTTAATTGTAATGAAGTCGTTTGCAGCTTCAGGTGCCCCAAAACCCAATGAATGTAACTTGGAAAGCATTTCTGACAGCTCTCCTGATTCCTCAGTCGCGCTGTTGCGTGTTTGCCAGCCTCCCTGTTGGGAGCCTCCCTCGAGAAGCCAGCAGCTTCTCAACAAACGTGCAGAATTGCCGTCTCAATAACAGCTACGGGATGAAGGGGATTGTAATTTTCTCCTACCCCTTGAGGGCTACAGTGCAGTATCAAGAACTCAAGTGCAGAAGAAGGAACAAGTGTTAAGTGAAACAAACAAATATTTATTCGTTCAGTCAGCAAGTATTTATGCAACACCAACTACATGTCAGGCTAGACCCTAGGAATACATAAGCAAACAAAACAAGGTCCCTGCCCTTGGAACTCTTACATTCTGAGGGAATAGCAGTGAATGAAAGAGCACAATAAATATTTGAAGACTTGTGATAAAGGATATGAAGGAAAATAGAGTCTTGAGAGAGACTAAAGGGGCTGGGGACTAACTGGATTGGGTGGTCAGGCCAAGGCTTTCTGAGTTAAGTGACATTTAAGCTGATTCCTGAAGGATGACAAGGAGCCAGTCAGATGAACGATATGGGAAAGAGCAACTTTGAAAGGAAGTGCCACAAATTCCTTTTTTTTTTTGAGGCAGGGTCTTGCTCTGTGGCAAGATCAATGATTATACAGTGGCACGATCAGTGATTATAGCTCACTGCAGCCTCTAACTCCTGGGCTCAGGCGATCCTCCCATCTCAACCTCCCAAGTAGCTGGGACTACAGGCACCCAGTTAGAATATAAGAAATTCTTACTGAATGAACTTCATCATCATATTCGCCTTCATACAAACAATGTCAAAGTTGTGGTTTTAGGAAAACCCTGCTACCTTTGGACAAGCAATAGAAAATCTCATTTAGGGGACACATCAAAAGGACTATACCAAAGTTATAATACCAAGAGGTTAAGCTGGGGGGTTATGTGTGGGGTTGTGGAAGGAGATAAGATAATAATGGGTGTTCTAGATGCACGTGGAAACAATCTTGGCCTCCTGCCCAGAGCGTTTCACTCAGTTCCCACTCGATTGCGTGTCACATGTCTAGGATCCAGGGATCACAGGCTAGTGTGACATTTCACAACCGGCCATTCTCCTGTATGAGCATCATAGTAAACAGAAGGACTCAGGAAGATTCTGAAATGAGACTGGAATGGGACAAAGGCCTCAGTGGGTGAAAACTCTCACCATGCCCATCTCTGGGATACTGTAGGCACCAGAACATTACCAAACCTGGGAACAAGTGGGGCTGTATAGGTTAGGATCATGGCCATGGCTGGACACCCAGAAATGGTCTCATTATACTCTCCCCCGCATATTGGCATTGTGGGGGCCATGGCCATTGGCCCCCGTAAAGGTTTGCTGAACAATCACTGACATTAGGCAAGATTGAGTAATAGGAGAAGATGCATACACAGTTTTTTTTTGTTGTTTTTTTTGAGTTGGAGTCTCACTCTGTCACCCAGACTGGAGTGCAGTGGCACGCTCCCAGCCACCACAGCCTCAACCTGCTGGGCTCCGGCGACCCTTCCGCCTCAGCCTTCCAAGTAGCTGGAACTATAGGTGCACGCTACCACACTTGGCTAATTTTTCTGATTTATTGTATGAGGTCTCGCCAAGTTACCCAGGCGGGTCTCGAACTCGCGGGCTCAGGCAATTCACTCACCTCAGCCTCCCAAAGCGCGGGATAACAGACTGAGCTACCAAGCCCGGCCTGCATACACATTTTATTGAACACGTATACATGGGGAACCTTTAGGATGAAGACCCAACTTCCCAGTGAGTTCCAGGAACTTAAATACTATTTCAAGGTAACAGGAAGAATGGCTTGCAAAACAGGTTATGGGAGGGGGAGGAAGAGGATTTCTGTTGAGGGGCAATACATGGTTGGGGGAATGAGTGAGTGGGGAACAGAATGACTTGCAAAAAGTTCTTCTTGGAAACTAAATGAACCTGAGAGACAGGTATTACACTTGTATGGAGGTCTGGCCAGGTGTGGTCCTTTCTTGCTCTTCTTTTCTGTAATAGATTTACAAGGAAGAGAAGCAGCTTTTCTGTAACTGAATGTAGGCAGGAAAAAAGCCATATATTTTGGGGCAATTTTTCCTGCAACTTTAGCAATGTAATGTCTTTCTCTTAGTTCAGTTTTGAAAAACAAAAAGTCTAATAAGAACCGGGATCCCGCCTTTGGGAGGCCGAGGTGAGTGGATTGCCTGAGCCCGCGGGTTCGAGACCCACCTGGGCAGGCGAGACCTCATCTCTACAATACTATCCAAAAAAAAAATTAGCCGGGCATGGTAGCGCGCGCCTGTAATTCCGGCTACTCAAAAGGCTGAGGTGGAAGGATTGCCAGAGCCCAGCAGGTCGAGGCTGCGGTGGCTGGGAGCGGCCACTGCACTCCAGTCTGGGCGACAGAGTGAGACTCCAACTCAAAAAAAAAAAAAAGTCTAATAAGGTCAGGGTCATATGTAAGGATTCAGCCTTCCTCTTAAAGAGTTTCTTTGCGTAACAGCTACAACTTAACGTTTCAGTTCTAAAGACTGTGACATTGAAAGAATAGCTGGGCTGGTCCCAGGGCAGTGGTGTTTACAACTAATTGATTACAACCAGTTACAGATTTCTTTGTTCCTTCTCCACACCCACTGCTTCACTTGACTAGAAAAAAGAAAAAAAGAAAGAAAGAATAGCTGGAACAGTTTTGTAACAAAATGGTTGCCTCTGTCACAGATGCACCTAAAGCAATTGCAAATTATACCCTAGAAATAAAAATCCATTTCTGAAATTTGGTTTCCTCTGCAGTGGGATCCAAAAGTTGTGACTAGAAGCGTGACAAGAGTCTCCTGCAGGATCGTCTGTTGAGTGCCGGGTAAGTGTTGGATGTCATGCACATGCCAGAGTGAGGCCAGAGTCATGGGTGGTTGAAGGTATTCACCAAGACAGTTACGAATTAAGGAAGGTAGATTTAGCCGGGCGCAATGGCTCATGCCTGTAATCCCAGCACTTTGAGAGGCAGAGGCTAGAGGATTGCCTGAGCCCTGGGGGTTTGAGACCAGCCTGGGCAATTGGACAAGACTTCGTCTCTACAATAAATCAAGAAATTCGCTGGGTGTGGTGATGCAAGCCTGTAGTTCCAGCTACTAAGAAGACTGAGGTGGCAGGATTGCCTGAACCCTGCAGGTCGAGGCTGCGGTAGCCATGAGCATGCCATAGCACTCCAGCCTGGGCGACAGAGGTTTATTTTTATTTTTTTATTATTATTTTTTGAGTTGGAGTTCTACTCCATCACCCAGGCTGGAGTGCAGTGGCACACTCACGGCCACCCCAGCGATCACCTGCTAGGCTCCAGCCATTCTTCTGCCTCAGCTTCCAAGGAGCGGAAATTACAGGCGTGCGCTACCACACCCAGCTAAAAAGGTAGGTTTATTAAAGGCAGAAGGGGTTGCAAAGAAAGTGGCAGACATAACAGCTAAGGGAGAGTGTCTGCTGTCTGCAAAGAGCCAGGGACCTGAGGCCAGCGTTTTATGGGGCTGTGCCGGGGTTGCTGTGTTAAAGGGAGCATGTGACACTGATCAAATTAACTGCTTGGAGTTGCCTGGAGACGTTCACTCATGAAACAGTGGTTAGCTGGTTCTACAGCTTGAGGTTCCACAACATGATGGGCAGGTATTCTGCCTTTTGCAACATTTGCCAATTTTACTCTGGGATCGCTTCCCTAAAATGTTTGCACAATTGCTCTGGCCTAATGGGACCTCCTATATCTCCACCAGGCCCTGAACTGGGTGCTAAGGAGACAGTGACACAGTCTCTATCCCTGGCGGCCTCACAATTTACCTGAAGAAGCAAACAATCAAAATCATTATGGAACTGACCATTTCATGGCAGCTGGGGAAAACGGCATGAGACAAAAGGAAGCCCAAGGTGTGACCTAAGGCAGTTGGAAGGAAATGAGTGAGCTTTTCCAGGGTGAGGGGACATCCCAGGCAGAGGAATCCCAGTGAAAAACAAAAAAACAAGGGAACCAGGTCATGAAAAATATGAGGAGTCTGTACTCTTTGTGAGCATCGAGGCGATTGTTCAGCCTTGGGCAGCAATGGCCTGCCAGTTGTCCCTCCTCTTGGTTTCACAAATCCATTCATTCAAGAAGCAGAATGAACACAAACTTTGGTGGTACCGCAGAGAATGATGTACTTAGAGAGGAAAGTCTTAGTAATGACCATTAATAGCATCTCCAGCTTGGCCTGCAGATGGTTTGGGTTTATTTTATTCAAATGCCTGCTATTCTTTTCTCAATTAAACCGTGGAATGTACGTGTATCTTTAAAAATAAGCCGGGTTTGGTGGTTCAGCCTGTAATCCCGCGCTTTGGGAGGCTGAGGTGAGTGGACTGCCTGAGCCCGCGTGTTCGAGACCCGCCTGGGCAACTTGGCAAGACCTCATCTCCACATAAATAAAAAAATTAGCCGGGTGTGGTAGCGCGCGTCTGTAGTTTCAGGTACTTGGAAGGCTACTTGGAAGGAGAGATCGCCGGGGCCCAGCAGGTCGAGGCTGCAGGTGGCCGGGAGCGGCCACTGCACTCTAGTCTGGGCAACAGAGTGAGACTCCGACTCAAAAAATAAAAATTAAAATTAAAAAATAAAAAATAAAAATAGTATTAAATGTGGACAGGGCTATTTTGTATTTTTAAGAGCAGGAAAAGGAAAAAATAAAGTCTAAATGAACCACTAGAGGTCGCTTCTGCCCCCAGTGTGGGGCTTACAGTGGGCTTTAGAACTGTTCTGCTTCCTCCCTGCTGCATGTGAAGGGAATTGTCTTTTAGCAGCTTGTAAAACAGTGTTATCATGCATATTGGACTAGGCCAGG